AGATAGATAGATAGATAGATAGATAGATAGATAGATAGATAGATAGATAGAGATAGAGATATCTTCCTTGAACTGATGTTCCTGCCTCCATCTCCAAGGTGCTAAGATTACAGATGTGTTCACCACCCTATTCAGGTGGTAACTGAAACCAAAGTTTTGTGCATGCTAGACAAGCACTCTACTAACTCAGCTGTGATCCCAGACCCTCTTGCTTTCTTTATTGGCCTGAAAAGAGTCTAAGTTCCCAAAGATATATTTTCAAATTGGAAGGCTGTTTTAATTCATTGATCAGGCTTACTGTACTTCTTTGGGTGTGCTCCTAAACACAGAAAGAACTCTGTACATTCTAGTTATAGCTACCATTTCCACCAAACATCATATCCTAGACACAACAGGTTTATCAAAGTCATTAGCAATGCTTCCCCATATCTGGAATTCCTCATTTACAGTATTACTTATTCCTGACAATACCTAATTCTTTCTATCTTCCTGGACCTAGAAGGAATTGAATTAATTAGCCCTGCCCTTTAGTCTTCTAAAGTTCCATACGCAAACAAAGTCAATACCATTTGTGAGAGACCTTTCTTTTTGCCATTATGGCTTTATTTAGTTGCATGATCTTAAAAGTGATTGTCTGTCTTTGATATTTCAAGTCAATATTCCAGCACTCTCAACAGCTCAATTAAAGCTATACATATTAACATCACAAATTGTTATGGACTTTATGATTTGATCAACTCCACTCCAGAAGGCCAGGAACAGCATCTTCTACTTCTTTGTTTCCCTTGTCCTATTAGTCAGAACTGGATATACTGTGCTAATAAAAATTTAAGAGCTAAGCTGAACAGTTGCACTACCTGGTTTGAATTTTGGCTCTGCTACTGAAAACTACATAATCTTTGGTATGTAACCATTAACCTCTCTCAGCTTTCTCCCATGGGAAGAATATTTACCAACTGGGTTGTTGTGAATATTAAATGAGTAAATATGAGTAGTAACGTGCTTAGGAAAGTGCCAAGCATATAGCAGTCCACAAACATGGGGGGCATTTGGGGGAGTAGTCACAAGAGAAAGGAAAATTCAGTTTCCGAATTACCAATGGATGCTCCTTCATGCTCCTAACTATAATTGTACCCCTCTGTGTTTCTCATTTCATGTGTGTAGGTTCCCACTCTGATGATGGACACCCAGTTCTCTGAGTTCACACCAGACATCACTCCCATCATGTTGGCAGCCCACACCAACAACTATGAAATCATCAAATTGCTTGTCCAAAAACGAGTCACTATCCCAAGGCCTCACCAGATCCGCTGCAACTGTGTGGAGTGTGTATCCAGTTCAGAGGTAGACAGTTTGCGTCATTCAAGGTCTCGACTGAACATATACAAGGCTCTGGCAAGCCCCTCGCTCATTGCCTTATCAAGCGAGGACCCCATCCTCACAGCCTTCCGGCTGGGCTGGGAACTCAAGGAGCTGAGCAAGGTTGAAAATGAGTTCAAGGCTGAGTATGAGGAGCTCTCCCAACAATGTAAGCTCTTTGCCAAGGACCTGCTGGACCAAGCTAGGAGCTCCCGTGAACTGGAGATCATCCTCAACCATCGAGATGACCACAGTGAAGAACTCGACCCACAGAAGTACCACGACCTAGCCAAGCTGAAGGTAGCAATCAAATATCACCAGAAAGAGGTAAGCTGAGATAATCTCTGTCTCCTGGAAGCTTAAAGCTCTCAGTATCCACAGCCTCAAAGCAAGACTCAGTAGTTTTCTAACCACTTAAGACTTCCAACATTTGTGTAGGTTTTATGGGCCTCACAGAGCCATTCATCTGTGATGCAGACAGCTTCTATGTATTTCCTTTGTGACCAAAAAAATAGTCACCTGATTCTTTGAAAGAAAAGCATTTTATCATTCAATGAATCCTTGTCAAGTACTCTTCCCAGTGTTTAGCAGAGAGAGGGAAAACACCAGTCGTCCTTGTTTGGAGACATTTTGCAAGTTGAACTTTAAAGTATTTGGCTACATAAAATTTGTAAGGATAATGATCTTCATAATTTATATTATATGAATACACTTGATTACTGATTATTTTATAGTTAAAAATTCTCTTCACATGTGATATTATGAAACTATATGGCTAACTTCTATTTTGGACACAAATAAGTAAATGAAATCTAACTTTATCTTCACTATATTTTCTATGGCAAGTGAATTTAGAATTTTCGTGATAAACAAAATCCCTCAAATCCCTTGGAAATGGAGCAGCTAGCAAGATGGAGGAGTGGTTAAGAACATGTATGGCTCTTACAGAGGACCCAGCTCTGGTTCCCAATGCCTACATGGTGACACAATCATCACAATCATCTGTAACTCCAGTTTCAGGGGATCCAATGCTCTCATCTGACCTCTGTTGGATCCAGGCACACATTCATACATGCAGGCAAAATACTCAGAGATGGAAAATAAGTAAATAAATCTTTCAAAAACTTTAAGAAAAAATTCTTAAAAGGCATGTAATTTGCCTGTGTTAACAAACTGAGGAGAAAACCATATCAATTTTTATTTATTATTCTTATATATGTTTTCTTTTCCTTAGTTTCATTTGTGGTGGTGGTGGCAGGGGTGAAGTAGGAAGGTGCACACACATGTGTATTTGTGGTGTTGCTCTGGCTGGCCTTAGACACCTGACCCCTTTCCTAAGTATTGAGTTCACAGATGTGTTCCTCCACTTCTGGTTCTGAAGTTCCTTTTCTTCGTTTATTTATTTATTTATTTATTTATTTATTATTTATTTTGTTTTCAATTTGTTTTTGTCCCTTGTGATTCTTCATTTCCCTTCTACACATTTAACAGTATTTTTATGTGTGCACATGAGTGTCTGAATTTGTTCATCCACAGGTGTGACAGATGATGTATCTGTATGTAGGTATGGGTATAGCACTCATTCATATACCCAGGGGTCAGAGGAGGACAATGGTTGGTTGTTCTATTCCATCACTATCTGCTTTATTCTCTTGAGGCAGGGTCCTCCACTGAACCTCAAGCTAAGTTGGTGGCCAAAAGAACTTCTAATCATCCTGCCTATCATATCCTCCCCTCCCCCCTCTACACACAGCACTGTGGTTACAGGTGTGTACAACCATGCCCAGCTTTTTTTTTTTGTGGGTTTAGCGGGATTTGAACTCAGGTCCTCTTGTTTACACAGTAAGTATTCCTACCTACTGCGCCAACTCCCCGGCATAATTATTAGTTTAAGTGGATCCTATGCCATCATCAGATGGAATAAATTCAACCTGAGAGTTACACGTTGAGAGCCCATAAATAAGTTGCCTTCCTAATTCTTGTTAACTGTGACCCTCTGAAACCATGAGCCCATATAAACCTTTCCTCCCTTAAGAGAGTTCATTTTCATTTAGGTATTTTGAAACAGCAACCAGAAAATGAGTACAGTATCGCCCTCGGGAACAAAATCTTGGCTGAAATTGGAGAGAACTCAAGCTTCTCTAAAGGGCTTTTTCTTTTTTTCTTTTGTATTGGTTATTTTATTTATTTACATTTCAAATGTTCCCCCCCTTCCCAGTTTCCCCTCCACAAACCTCTTATCCTAACTTCTATCTCCCCTGCTTCTATGAGGGTGCTCCTCCACCCACCCACCCATTCCTGCCTCCCCACCCTGGCATTCCCCTATACTAAGGCATTGAGCCTTCACAGGGCCAAGGGCCTCTCCTCCCTTTGATGCCAGATAAGGTCATCCTCTGCTACATATGCAGCTAGAGCCATGGGTCCCTCCATGTGTACTCTTTGGTTGGTCGTTTAGTCCCTGGGAGCTCTGGGAGGTCTGGTTGGTTGATATTGTTGTTCTTCCTGTGGAGTTGCAAACCCCTTTCTAAAGGGCTTTTTCACTGTAGTTTTACCTCATAATCATTCCTACTCAGATTCAAATAGGCTCTTCAAAAGAATGTCGTACGGTGAAAGACTATACTCCAAAAAATTAAACAAAAGCAAATTCCAAATTATAATTTTTATATAAAATACTAGGATGAGGCAATTTTTGTCTCTTAGAAACAGGTGCTGAGTATTGAATAGTCCATACATAAGAATTCAATCTTCAGGTGGCTTTATACTGGCATTTGTTGGTATGAAATGACTTCTTAAATTTCATAATTTCATATATTCTAGCCCATTGTCAGACATGTCAAAGGATTTAAAAATTGTATCATTTTGTTTGTTCATTTCTACTGCTAAAAGTAAGAAGCAAAGGTGTAGTTTTCATTTTATAAATGAAGAACCATGTTCATGGACAAGTCAGTGGACAATCAGGCTCTTGGTGCAATATTCTCAATGATTTTATTCTATGACATTTGTGTAACAGAGTCTTTTTGTGACACTTCGGTAGCCTGGAAATTTACTACAAGGTAATTGAAGGTGACTACAAGTTCTTTGGCTTTTAAATCAAAGTTTATTAGCTACAATCTCTTAAAAGCGATTAAGTGGTTTGGAACAATAGTCAATAAAGATCACAAGTGATTATAACCTAATAATTTGAAGAAATGGTTACATATAAAGATGCAGGTACATACTGTCAGCAGCTCCTATACTTCAGCTAAAGAATGAAGATTTGTACTCTGTGCTTCAGTGCCATTTACCAGCCTGTCTTTCTTGATTTTAACACCTTTAAGTTGGTCTCAGAATAAAGAGCCTTGCTCCCCCTCTATTTCTCTGTGCCATTCAAAATCTGGTTTTGGCATTAACCTCAAAAAGATACAAAACAAGGCTGCTTGGATAATGGACTCCAGTCTTCTGGAAGAGAGTCAAAATCTCAATTGGAGACATCCAATAAGCATATTTATTAGTATTTCTCCTTTTAATTTAACTCTCTATCTACTATGTCAATTACCAACTAGTTACTTCTACCAATCTTACAATTGGCTAATTTCCATTAAGGCACGGGTAAATGAATTCACTTAGGAAGTAACCCTATCTCAAACAATGGTGTTAACTGTTGACAATTTAAAATGTTCTCTCTACTGAAAATACCTTCCCTACTAGGCCTTGTTCTTAAGGGTTTTCTTATTGCTAAGATTGTTTGTTCCTTGTCACATTTAACTCTACTTCTAATCCCATTCCGTATAGCAAACATACTCGATATAACAGTCCATTTCTTGAAATAGAGTTACGTCTTAACAATTCTAAAGTGCACATAATTATACAATCAAGGCAAATACTGAAATGCAATAGGCAAAGCAGATCCACATACGATGAACCTGTGACACCTTCTTTTTCTGATACCTAAGAACAACACTGTCTATTACTTGTTTAAGGCTTTGTCTAAAGTAGACTTACAGGTTTCTCTTGTTATGACCTGTTCGAGTTTATTGGTGGTTTATGCTCTCTGACTTTTAACAAAGTCTTAATAATTTATTGTAGAAACATTACAAAGCCCAGATTCTAGAGTTCTACTTGGATTACTATAGTGTGCCTATCATGCTTGAAGAACATCATTTGCAATTTCTCAGGTAAATTGCACACCAAATAGAATTTATAATAGACTGGTGGGCTTTCTCTGTATACTTTCCCTGATTTTGTTCAACTAATCATAACTTGAGTGTTATTTTGACAGAAAATTATACCCTATTTCCTACAGTTCAAATTTCCCTGGCAGTAGTATATATTTCCCCTAGTTGTTGCTAAGCCCTTACTTAAAGTGTAGATTTTTTTTTAACTTTCATACAGGTCTATTGTTGTTACTACTGTTGGTAAATGTTCTTATAAAATACAGAAATAATCCTAACTGTTCCACTAATTATAATAATTATTATTCATTAACATTTCCTCCTGGCATGGAAAAATGCAAACTATTTCTTCTTGCTTTCTCCAATCTTGCAATCTCCAGTCTCCTAAACAAAATTAGGTTAATTTTCAGTGCATCGCTTATTTGCTTCTTTGTCTGTACTTGTGTACCTGGAGTCTTTTCTATACTTGTAAAATAAGATTCAGTTTGCTTATTATAGTTATTGTAGCAAGGTGTTACAGCATACTACCTACTGCAATATGCAATTAACCCCATTAACTACATTTTGACACAATTTTCATTTGTTCTGTATGTATTCTTGTCACGTATCTGCCATGTTAGTTGGCTCTGAAATCATCTGTATTAAATGTCCTATTAATCTTTTTAACTATGATGTGCTTTAGGATTCTTCATAAATTGTTAAGAAGGCCATGCTACCTACCCATGAAAGTAAAAGGATTGAACGGCATAAGGTGGTATAATAGGTGAATATTTGCACAGTTATTTAGGTGATCTCTGTTTCAGTGTGAGGGTACTTCAACTATTATATTTCACACTTCTGACAGGTGGAGGGTTATTGTGCCTCAATACCAGTCTACATCTTATTTATATTTTTACCTCTTAATAACAAATATTGCTAGGTTAAGTTTGTAATGGTCCTACCACATGAAGCCTCCAAGTATTTGCCTTAAATTCAGTTATACACAAGAAGATGTACAATGTCCGCTTCCCCTTGTAGACCATTTTCTCCAGGCTGATGACGTAAACGCTTGATTTTCCATTGATGAAGTCTTTGTTATTCCCAGTCTTGACATTCTAGAACTTCTCTCTTTGCTTTTTGGTATAAGCTTCAATATTGTGTCAGAGGACAATATTGCAAAAGAGTTTCAGCACACATCAACATGTGTGGTTAGAATCCACAGCAGTCTTTCATTCAATATCTTGACCTCAGAACTCTCAAATTTTGTTCCCAGTGAATCTGGAAAATCTTTCTATACTTTTATTGCCTGGTAGACGTTGCACTTTCAGAATTATTTACCTTACTCTGCCCTGAAAACCTCCCTCTTTAAGATACAATGTGGCACGTTGTCCTGGCCATGAGAAAATACTCATTGTAATGCCATGCTAGGAAACACTACTCTTAGAACTTCTATTTATCACAGAGCAGTGACACTGAGTATTGGTAGAGTTCATCAGTTCTTCATTCTATTCTAAGGTAGATTCTTTGCCTTGTTATTATTTGGTCTTATCATGAAGAATCCTAATAGTACAAGTAAAGCAAAAAAACTATATAACTAAAGCCAGTCTTTTGAATTAAACCATAGAAAAAAATGATTTTCCAAAAGGAAATAAAAGTTTACTAAATCTAAAAGTTTTTAATAATGAAACTATGCAGAACTAGAATAAAACAGCTATTGCTGAAGCCTAGAAAAAAAGAAATGGAAAAATGATTTTTTCACATGCTGACTCTCACTCACTTTCTGTATCATCCTTTATTGCAGGAAGTATATCCTCATATATCTCGTTAATATCTATCATAGCTTCATCCATGTCAAGGATTAGGTCTTCATCTTCTTTTACTGAAAGGATTGATTCTAAGTCGGAAAGAGCTGCAAGATCCGGTAGCGAATCTTCCTCGGGAGGAGGCTCAGCTGCTTCCGCCTCCTCTGCTGTAGCATTCTGTTGCAGAGAAGGAGCTTGTTCCTGTGAGACGAACTGTAATAGTTCCTCAGCTATTCTTATTAGCTGGGCTACACAATCAATAAGTTCAGCAACCAGTCCAGGGATTGACACAGATTCCATGGCTCAGGCAGGTGGTGTGATTATGATGGTGATCAAGTACAGACTGAGTCTAGCGGTAACACAAAACTTTTTGGTGATGTTGGTTAACCTCTCACAAAATGACTCTACTAGTAGTCTATTCCTATTATAATCACCACCAAATTGTCACTTCCAAGACAAAAGAGCCAATCAGATCTAATAATAGAAAAAGACAAATAAAAAAAGATCAGTATCCTTGACCATTCGTCTACACTATAGGTTATAGCTACAGGATATAGTTACCAAGACCCATCCAAGAGGTTAAATGAGATCTCTGGCTACTGTTCTTCCTTTCGACAGCCTAATGAGGACCTAATGCCTCTCTTTTCCTTTAGATTTCTCATGATATTTATTTTTGCTCAGGGTTTCCAGCATAAAATGAGCATGGGGTTTGCGTATCTCTCAGTAACACCTCCATTGAGAAAGGATATATCATTATTCAGAGTCTTTAACTGTTTTTATTAGTATCTTTGACTCATGGCCATTTATAACTACTAAAGGCTTTGGTGTTAATTCATTAGAGTTTCCAATTGTTCTGTATCTTGGGGACAGATGTTATAGTGCAATAAATTATAAAAGCTCTTCATTTATTTTTATTAATTAGGTTATATGATCAAAAAGTCTACCAACTCTTAGAGGAACTGACACTGGTTCCACATCTCAGTGGTCTTCTCAATAGATAAAATATTACTAAAAATCTATAACAAGTGGGTACTTGATGATACTGAATCCTGTGGAGCCGACAATGATTACTCCATTGATTTAGATGAGAAGTGACCATGTTGATTTGATTTTGGTGGAGACAAATTATGACATGAGGCTTGTGGTGCCACAGAACTTGTTGATATTTGGGGATTTTGTCAAAATTTAAACAGTTGTTGAATATTCACCCAGTAGGACACAAACCATAAATAGAAAGGTAGTGCACTGCTAATAGATACATATATTAATATGAAAGATATTATACCTAGTGGAAAAAATAGACATAAAAGAGTGCACACTGCATACTGTCTATATACGATTCAAGAAAATTTATGGTTCAGAAAAAGAATAATTGTGTCTAAGAAAATGAGAAGTAGAGACATGTAAGTGAACTGTCTGTGATAGTGTCAATGATTATATTTTACAGTTTTAGGCTATATGTGAACATGAAATTGATGGATTTCACTGATTGCTACTATTAAAAGTGGTGCATTTCACTGTATGCTATCCGTCCTAAAGTAACCAAACAGAATCAATCCCCTATCTGAAAAGTATGTCAGATGAGATGGTATGCCTATAACATTGTAATAAATTCTCAAATTTGTGGAAGGAAGGCTTATTACATATAAAGCACCAAGAAACCAATCTTCCCCATTAGTGTGCCTAATCCTCACAATAAAATAACTGTATGAAGTTGTGATTGGAAAACTTGAAAATCATTAGGTATTATGACTTATGACCAGCCACATGATATGAAATAGAAGTTAACCTAGAACTTCCAAAGACCTATGTCAAAGGGTACACATATGGGTGTCTATACTAACACATTTGCTTTAATGAGTCCAGAGCTGACACCTCATTCTACTAAACAGGAATAGAACTGAGCATGTCCATTCACTTGATATCCCTAGAAATTAGCTAAATTTTGGGTTGATTGTGTCTAATACTAACTGGTGGAGAGGGGGGATCCTATGGTGCCCATGTCATAATCAATAGTTTCATAGAGCTTCAAAGATATGTGTGTGTGTGTGTGTGTGTGTGTGCACGCGCGCGTGTGCGCGCGCACGCGTGCATGCGTGTGTTTGCTCCCCATCCTCTGGTGTTTTGAATTTCTCTAAATGATTGGAAGCTACTCACCTGTAATCTGGTAGAGATGGACAAAGGTATTGTCCTAGAAAATGACTTCTGGAGTTCTGCTTTCGAATAGTCTGGAAACACTCCTGCAAGAACCAAAAAATACAACACGCATGCAAATGGGGGAGAACAAATTACAAAATCAGTAGACTTAAGGCTATCAGAAAGGGGTGGAAGCAAGTATAAACTCTCTAATGTGAGCTGAAAATAGCTGACATTTTCTTTTCTGTGGTATTTGCTAATTCTGGGCATAGGTTAAAGATAAAGCTTGGACCAAAGGCAGAAGGTGTCTACCACAGAATGAGCAATTTCAGCATAGCTGTTGACAATTGCAGGAGGCTAGCCTAATGGAAGCCTGGGGTGTGCTTACCTGGAATAAATTGAGGTCTAGGCTGGCCCCTGGGAAGGAAGTTCTCCCGACACAGGCACAATCCTCAAAAAGATACCTAGCATTGGAAGTGAGGGGACATAGATGAGGCCAGTGAGTGAGTCATTATTGATGGGGCTCAAGACTACTTTTGAAGGACACTTTGAGCAAAATTATTTACAAACATATACAAAGAGCCAGGACTCTTTAAGGAACAACATGTATACTACCAGATAACAAAACCTGAAACAAAGGAAGACATACATTGCATATTCCTTCCCATATGTGGAAGCTAAAAAAATGTCATTTTGACTGCAGACTACTGACTACTAGAAATCAGGAATGGCCACAGAAACATGGGATAAAAGGTTAGATAATGGGTACCAAAACAAAGTTAGATAGAAGGAACGTGTATGTTCTGGATGTCTATAGCACAGTAGGTTCACGACGAAGTGTTTATTTTCTGAGTAACTAGACAAGAGTAACTCAAATTTTCCAATCTTAAAGAAAACACAAATCTTAAAGAAAAAAACATGTTAATTACCCTATTTCTATTAGTGTACGTTACCTAGGAGGAGGTGGTGCATACCTTTAGTCCCAGCACTTGGGAGACAGAGGCAGGCAGATCTCTGAATTTGAAGCCAACCTGGTCTACAGAGTGAGTTCCAGGACAGCCAGAGTTACAGAGAGAAACCCTGTCTTAAAAAAAAAAAGAAAACAAAAAGAAAAAAATAAAACAAAACAAAAACCCTACCAGTACACATTTATGTGCATATAAAAATAATATGTACATATAAAAATTGTCATATACTATGACATTGTACAATATTATATGATAATAAAAATTAAAAATTAATTAAAAAATAAAAATAGCAAGGCTAAGTTTATGGCTACAGAGGTTAAAATCACATAGTACTGATACATGGATAGACAAGCAATGGAACCATAACCAGAATCATATATCAAATACTAAAATCTAATTTGAAAACGGGTAGAAGAGTTAAATCTAAAATACAAAACCAATATGTAGCTCAAGCCACAAGAGAAAACTTTCATGATCTTAGGAAACCAAAATTTATCACATATACCCCAAATTAGCAAAGAGCTCCCGTCTATCAAAAGATACCTCAAGAGAGTAAAATGGTCAATTATAAGGTAGAAAAATATTCAGAAAGTATTCCCAATAGAAGGTTGATACCTATTTTATGCATATATTTTAGACTCCTGTAAATGAAAAGAATAAGACAATGTAAATGTCATAATCAAGACAGAAGAAATTAACCACTACCACATAGAAGAGGCTATTTACCCAACCTACAAGTACACAAATCGGCATTTGTCACTACTACTCATTAGATAAATGCAAATTCAATCCACAAGGAGATATATCAAACCCCACAAGAATAGGTACATCAGAAAGGATTAATAATAAGAAACGCAGAACAATGGAGCCACTGGAACTCACATACAACCGCAGGTAAATGTATTGGCTTGTGCAATTTGAAAAGCTACTAGATAGTATCTACTAAAGCAAAGTCTACCTCCGTCTCATGAACCTGTAGTATTACTACTAAGTATAAACCCAAATTAAAGAATGTAAACATCTACCAGAATACATGTATAAGAAAGTAAAAGGAAACCAGAAATATAGGAATATAGTATATATCCCATCATTTCATTTAGATGAAATTTAAAACAATGATGAGTATTGTCAGTATTGTTTGACCAGCCTGTCATTAATGTGAAGAAAATGAAGTATAACATTAAGAGAAGGGTCCTTTGCCTGGTGTGGATCTCCACTTCATGTCAATGCAATTAAAAGAGGTCCTGATTGTCAGACAGTTTTTAATTGATGCAATGTGATATAACCTGCCTCTTATAAGTAGCTGAATAGGACCTAGAGCAAAGGTGGTGATAACTGATAACTGGAATCAGGCATCTCTGTATCACTTCATCGGCATGACTAATGAAAAGTCACCATTTTATTCTGAGTGAAAGTCTTAGTCTGCTATTTGGCACTTCTTCCATCTGGAAATCTGGCAACAAGTATCTAACAATGGGACAGAAAAGGAGCAAAGAAATCCAAATCCACTGGGCCCATGTTTAGAGTCGATAAGCTTCCCTGCAGCAGGAAAGGTAAATTACTTCATATCCAAGGGGACCAGAGGTAGTTATATGGGAGTGATTAAAATGTGCCTTTGGTGAATACAGGTGCCAAGTCTGTATTCACAAATAGACTTTTTTTTTTTTGCTCCCTTCTGCAGTGCTACAGTACCATTTGGTCACAAGCATTTAATTTAAATGCTTAAATAAACAACACTTCTGTTAATGGCTCCTCAGCTGGTGATGGGATTACACCTCTCTCCTCCTCTGTGTTGGGACTTTATCTGAAGCCCAAACAGGTCTTGCATAACACAAAGTGCACTCAGTAGGGAAAGAAGAAAAGTAAATAAATAACCTCAAAGTTGGGTGGGAGAGGATGAGAGGTTTTTGAGTGTGGTAAGGGGAGTAGTTAAAAGAGTAAATGTGTTCAAAATACATTGTATGAAATTCTCAAAGAATGAATAAGAAATTATTGGGTTTTTTTTTTTTAAAAAAAACCACTTCTGGACATACATAACTTCTCTTTGCCCTCCCCACTTCCAGTGAAACATCAAGAAGACCTTCATGTCCCAGCATAGGGGGATGCTGGAGCAGTGGGGCAGGAGCCTGTGGGTGGCTGGGGGAGCATCCTCATACAGGCAAAGAGGAGGGGAGAGGGCAGATGTGGGATGAGGGAGTTGAGGGGGTAACTGGGAAATGAGATATCATTTGAGATATAAATAAATGGAATGATTAATAATAATAATAAAAAAGAAGAAGACCTACCCCATCATTTTGATATAGCAGGAGCATCTCTGGGAGATATAATGAAAATAATCAACAGAATTTGTCCTTGCATCTATATTTTAAAGTTAGAAATTGTTGCCTTTACAAACAACTGCATGCAATGAAGCTATAGGACCTGACTTTCGAAATGTCTGAGCCATCTTTAATTTATCAAGGAAAATGGAAAGAAATGTGGAGCTGAAGAGCTAAACACGGCCCCTTCTTGAAAACTATATGAAAAATTCAAAACAGAAACCAAATTAAGAGGGAGTAGGGATGCCCTTGTAGTCGGTTTAAAGCAAGTTCTTCTACATTTCTTTCCTCCCCTTTCTAATTTGTTCATTGCTGCAGAGACAATCTTAGACTCTTGCTTACCCTGCAGAAAAACAACTTAGTCACTACTGGGCAAACAGTAGCTTGCAAATATCTCTTTGTCATTGTGTTAGTTGGGCACATAGTTTTTTAGCATAGTATTCAACCATGGGGTCTGCCACCTTATCTTGGCTTGGGGAAACATAAACAAACTTGTCTCTGTAGCTTAGCTGCTGTAAGGGTCCCCAGAGAAGCCAGGAAACGATGATAAGAAAAAGAGGTTCTACTCCTAATTCTTCCCTCAGCTTTCTCAGAGGGAAAAAGAAAAGTAGTGGGGGTTTTCAATGGGGAAAAAACAGTCTATTTAGCAAACGCCAAAATGAAATGATAGCAGTGACTCTAAGGGCAATATATTGTGCCAAGCAGATTTGTGTTTCATCCTAACTTTACTAAGTGCAGAGTTTCCCTAAGCTATATTTGGGTTCACTTCCTTATCTGTAGGATAGAAAGAAAAGGGAAATTGCATGAATTCGTTCATGAAGAAGTTCAGAATGTTTCCTAGTTCACGGTAAGTGCCTTACAGATGCTAGCTGTTTGATTGTGCTATGGAAATTCCAGGATCCAGGAAGTAAGGCATGGTGCATCCTGGCCACTACTAGTGACTGTCAGAAGGTGAGAGAAAAGATGACTGAAGGCTTAGCAAAACCTGGAAGGAAGTAACAGAGGTACGATTCATATCATAGCTACAGCCAGGTAACGACTTCAGACTTTGATAAAGATGTGAAGAGAAGGCACTCTCTGGGTAATGAAGGCATCTTACAGTATATCTACTGTGAATTCACCAAAACTAGTCCAGACTTTGAATATTCCTACGTGGCACATTCATATGACAAGGGGAAAAAGCACACTGTGTCTTACTCCTTACCACCCCAGCCTGAGTTTTATTCAAAGCTTCAAGAACACACTTGACACATATAAGACTGACAGAGCCCTGGGGTTCTGGCTGCCTTTCTCTTTCTGTAAATGCCAGCTGGCCAAGAGAGACCGCATTCATCCATTTTACCAACAGGAATGATCAGAGACAATAGAGTCCTCCTCTCTGCCTGAAAATGTGCTTGTACCATCTGCCAAAGAATGAGCCTTTCTGGTTTTAGTGGCTTCAAACTATGATTCCAGCACTCCACTCAGTAGCTCATCCCAGGGTTTTACAGCTTCTTCCTTCTGGGAGCCATATCCTCGAGCACATTCACATACATTAACCTACAGTAGTCCTATCAGACAAATATTTTCCTTCCACAAATGAGGGAGTAGAAACTCAAACATATTTCATATGGCATCTCATTAAATGTTCAAATTACTGTGAGGTCAATAGGGTATTGGGGGAGGGGCTATATCTCCCCTATGCATTTAAGAAAATAAACATCCACATAAGGCAAACAATCCAAGGTGTACAGCTGGAAACTGGTGGAAGCTGGAACATGAGTTGCTGCTCTTTCCATGGCTTGCAACTGCAAACTCTCTAATCCTTGGGGGAAAATCTTCCAAATACCTTCTTAGGACAGATACATATTCCGTGCTTCAAATCTAACAACATATGTTGTCATTAATCAATTAGAATTAAATCATAAAATCATCTATAGACCCTATATGTAGAACTGCCAAGTGAATATCCAGAGACTAGGATTCCCATTGTCAGTCTCTCCGAGAAAGAAAATACAATTTGAGTAGCCAGGCTATCCAGTGGAATAAATCAGCTGCATTTTCCCAAGCCACTCTGCTTTCCTCTTGCATGATACATTACTCCAAACAGTTCTCTACAGGAACATAATAACACAAACGAGAAAATTACAGTACAAGTATCTGTGACCTAAAGTAAATCCCAATGGCCTCTTCCCCTGT